GTCTTGTTTCCTTCCGTCCCTTACTGACTGTTTTATGTGATTTTACATACCCGTTCTCTGCATGCAAATGTATTTATGAGAACAGAGAAGAGAAATGTGATCCCAAATATCAGACCCATTTGTCAGAAACTGCCCAGCAACCAGGTAACTCACAGGTTTCACAGAAAAGGTTTGATCCAGCCTGAGCTTCCTAACACAGCCTCCAAGGAATCGAATGTGAAGCCATTTAAGGGTCCATTGTCACAGTCCTCTTTAATATTATACATCTCCATGTTCAGTGTGCTGAGTTACACTCACCTAAGCACTAGCATGGAGCTGTTGACCCAGTACTGGGGAGTGATTTATCCTGCAGGCTAATCTCTAACAAAATTAATCATTTTCAAATCTATAATTTCTGTTTGACTATAAACTAACAAGCTATTAACATTACTATTGGAATTCAGCATTTTAAAACATATATTAATTTTGTATTAATTTTATGGGGGGTTGGGGGGAAGACACAACCAGAACTGCTTTCTGGGAAAAGCAAGAACAATAAACTTTTAGGTAGAAGCCACTGAAGATTACTCAGATAATATGATTTTTATGATACGTTAAATATTTCCACCAGAAATGGAACAAGAAAGAAGCGTAGTGGAATGGGGGAGTCTTATCTCCATGCTCCTGATGGCAGTGAAAGGGTTCTGTCTATCTTGAGGTTACAGTGCAGGATTCGTTCGCTTTGTGAAGATGTGGTTTTTAGGCAAACCTTGTGATTTACCTCTCCAGTTTGAACTCTCCAGCTGACTGCTTACCCAGTACTGAATATACCTAACTCTCCCAGGTAACACCAGGCAAATTTTTAATGAAGAAACTTGATGCTCTTGCCCTATTGAATGAAGGGCTGTATTAACAGAACAAGGGCTCAGAGACAAATCTAGGTGGGATTATCAGAAACAGGCTGTGCAGCTCACTGTAGGACACCTCTAACAACATTGAAGCACTCAGCCATCACCCCAAGCCTCAAGCTAAAGCCTAGGACACTGGAAAAACAAAGCAGACACCAATCTTGTTCTACATTTTTAGAATTCACGAATGAGCAGGTCATAGATTAAAAATGGAGGCAGCGCTTTCTTCCTCTCAAAGTGGACAGGTTTGGAGGACAATGGCAGAAGAGCCTGGACCTTAGTTCTTACAGTATGCTACCTGCTGAAAAGGACTAGAAGAAAAATAATACAGGCCATACTCATTGAAAAAAATCATTGTTATAATTTAATTATCTTCTGGGGATTTTATTTAAGTTATTAATACTATTAACCAGCCTTTTGGTCTGATTATATTAAGGCTGACCTGATTGCTCTATAACATGCACAGTACAGTATTACCACCACACTAAATAAAGCTAGACACAAATTTGGAATGTACAAAATGCATGACTTGATAACCTACAATATTATGAAATCTTTTCCTAAGCAGGAATTTTAAAATGTGTCTCTGGCAGTGTAATATTTATAGCACCACATTTTGTCAAGCATACATACTAACATATAAGTATTCAATTCAAACAGAAGCATAATCCTTGCAGCAGATCCTTCTTATGCTTTTTGATACTGTTTCTTGCAGCTATTTCTTGATAATACAGCACACCTCCAGTGACAATCCATGGCTTAAGCCATGTGTCTCAGTGATTTTAAACCAATGAAGACATGTAATAATCCTCTCTGTGCTCTGTTACACAGACCTCAGTTTTGTTAAGACACTGAATTTATTATGAGGACCTGTGTCTACTGTGTTTTGCAGTCATTCCTGCCTGCAACACCACTAATCTTCAGCCAGAGCATGTTGCCGGTTCCACTGTACTTACCCAGAAAGATGGACACTCACAAGCAAATTCTATGGTTCAGTCACAGTTTTTGGTTCTCTTTGAAGAATATTGCCTCGATAAGTTGAACCTTAAAGCCTCAAAAGCAAAACTTAGGATGTTTGGAACAGTTAAAAATGTTGCCCTTTCATTACAGGAAATAGGGGTAAGCAGGGTGGACTAGCCAGAGCACTGGGAAAAGCTATCTTTCCTGAATTAGAAGATCTATCTTTCCCAAATTAAGAAAACATTTACAAGTAACCAGTATTATGGAGTAGTAGTTAATTTCCTACAAATTAAAATGAAATTGTGAGAAGACAGGGCTTCTTTTTCAGACTCAGACAAGGATTTGCGTGCCAAAAAGTATGTTTCTTTCCTACTTCTGCCTGCAAGCTTTCATTCACTTTCATTCTCAGACTTCCATGGTTAGATTACTGCTAGCAGTGGCTTATGAACAGACTGATTCTCACAATCATCTGTGATCTAGTGCTATAACATCCAACTTCTAGAACTGGAAAAGACTGAAGGAATTACAGGCTCTGTTTCCAGTTTAACAACATTTTTCTTGCACAATGCTCAGTGCAATTTTTGAAAAAGCATCAAGTATTATTGTCATTGCAGCATTTCCTAAAGAAGTGCATTATTATAGTGTAGGTGATGACTATTTTTCAAGCATAAGGCAAAGCTTGTGTATTATTATGGCATAATTCCTAACGCTACATTCAACACATATGATCTCTTCTTTCCTAACCAGTTCATTTATGCAGAGTGTTAACATTTTTTTTCCTGGAATTTGTATCTAAAACAATTGCATAGTAATCCATTTACCTGTGAACACCTTGATAAGGATTGAAGAAAGGATTTAAAATGTTTATTCAGGATGATCAAGTCTGGCATGGAAACTCTTGGTTTTGGTAGTAACAGCAAAGCATTTACAGTACTCACATAATGAATTACCTCATCACCATGTGGCACACTGGAGCTGAATAGAGAATGACTTTGCCATGGTTGACAATATCTAAGTATATCAGATACAGTTAAAACGACAGTTGCCTAGAGGGCTTCTTTATGTTGAGGGAAAACCTGAGTCAACAAAGCTATCTTATAAAAGTTTGTGACCAATTCATTAAAAATAACTTCTCAATTAAAATTTGCCAGTGACAAATTCCCCAAATTGCAAAAAGGTGGCTTCACTCAGTAATTTCTTTAAATGTCTTACGAAATTGTGCTCCTCTCAGAGTTGCTGCGTGAGAGAGAATTCCACAGCTACAAACCTCAGCACCTCAGAGTTGGGGACATACACTTAAATGCTAGAAATTGTTCTTCCTCACAATGGGAAGGATAAGTGAAATCTCTGCTTCCTGTTCCCCGGGTTATAGGAACCAAGCTTCAGCTGATCACTGGGAAAATTTCAGAGATCAGTTATTCCTCCTCTAATGTTAACTGCAGGTGTTAGCTAAGAGAACTTTCTCCTGGATTTGCTGACATCACTTTAGCCTGTAGGATTTTTTAGAGCATCACCTTCTCAAATAGCGCTTTGATCCTTTCATAGCCCAAGTGAGTCAGTGACACAGTTTGTTGCAGCAGGTTGCTTCTGAGTATGAGCCATCAAGAGACACTAAACAGGGTGAGTCATATCAGCCCTCTTGATGTTAGCTTTACAGCTACCATGAAGCGCTGATCTTTGGAATGAAAAAGATGATAGTTGATGAGGTCAAGTCAGGGTTAAAAGCTAGTTATTACTGAAAAAGGGCCCATATCATTTTTTTCCTTCTTTGTCAATATCTTTTTCCAATAAAAGCAAGAGGAAAGTACCTGTTTCTGAACTAATGTACGTGGTTTTGTTGTTTGGTTGGGGTTTTTTTTGTCTCCTTGCTTGAGCTGAGAACTAAAGTGAAGAAGCTTTTCTTGTGCAAGGGGCTGGGCCAAGTGGTCTCTAGAAATCCCTTCTGACATAACAATTTTCTACAACTCTGTGACAGGGACTCTTTCTGTCCTGCCTGTATCTGCTGCTAACTCATGAAGCTATATAAAGTGACCGCATAGGGTGCGGGCATTGGTCTGTACAGCTTTAGAGGCAAAACTAACTTAGATACAAACACTAACCTCTTAGGTGCATTTCAAGGTATTTTCACTCACCACCCTTCATTTTTGGGGGACTGACTCAGAAAGAGCCACCCTGTGAAAGGAAGTGAAGCTATTGCACAAAGCTAAGTGGGCAAGATACACATATTCCACAACAGCTGTATTTCCCTTCCTTATAAAACCTAGAACGTAGCTTTGAATTTGCTGGACAGGGTAACCTTTTTTAGACAATAATGAAACATTGAGATTACAGGAGGTAGGTCTGTGAAAGTACCACTTCACTGCCCAGTCAAAAAAAAATGCAAATCAAATCCCAAAAATCATTTAATACAATCCTTTTTTCACTATATTTTTTAAAAAAGAGCTGGATTTTCTTTAAAAAACAACAACAAACAAACAAAATAAAACAAAAAACATGCTTTAATATGAGCAAACGGGGTTTGTTCATTTTCTACTACCTTTCTGAAACCCTGATGCCACTGACACAGGGAAGGGTTGCAGACCATTCCATCAGTGAAAGAGGTGGATGAGGTTACAAGAGGGAGGTTGTCTGTGCAAGGCACAGCACTCTACTTCTGGTGGAGACTGTCCCATTACCACAGTACTTCACACCTAGCACGCCTCAGTTTATGCAAGCTTGAGAGTTGCATAAGACTTTGACCTGCACAACCAATGTTTTTTTTCTGTGAACCTCTCTATGGATATCCTTCTGCAGACCAGAAGGACGGGCACAGAGATCTAGTGCAGCTTGTCAACAATAGACGCAAATCACTGCAAGCATAAAAGAGAGCAAAGGCTTTCTAGTGCTTCGAGCTGTACCTCATCACTTAAATGTGTTTCATCTCCAAGGTGTGAGTGCTAGAAACTGTAATCACATTAACGCTTGAGAACTTTGGTTGTCTATCAACAAATGGTGCAGATGGATGTCTCTTTTTTCAGATATGTTTCAGAATGAGAATTCAGCTTTTGCTTGCATAACTGTAGATCCCCAAAGGTATATTTTTGTCTTTAGCTCTTGTCATGGGTAGGGAAGTTGCTATTACTGCTTCACATTATCTTTCTTTCCTTGCAACAGGATAATGTGGATCTTGGTGACCTGATGTTTTCACTCTGCTACCTTCCAACAGCTGGTAGACTAACTATTACAATAATAAAGGCAAGAAATTTAAAGGCAATGGATATCACAGGAGCATCAGGTAGGAATGAATTTAATGCTTAATGTGGATTTCTGTCCTGTTTCCCTCCTGAGACACAGAATCAGCACTGTCAAATCCCAGAATGATTTTTGAGAAGAGGGTTATACACTGCAAGCTCTTGAGTTACTGGAGTACAGGAATTTCAGAGAAATAAATAATATATTTCAGTTTGCTCCATTGTAACCAACAGTTTAAAATAACATGCTCATAAAAAGACTTAAAGATTATTCTAAAGTCGTTGTGATTCAGAATAGTGCAAGTTAGCCAAACTTGTGTTCATAACAGTGGGAAGCTGTACAGCAGACTGTTATGGCTATGGCACAGAGGCAGACTGACCCTCTTTGGCAGTCTCCCAGAGCCACTGAGCCAGTGCTGCTGTTGTTGGCACACAGATAAAACAGGATCATCCCAGATTCCTTTCAGCAACCCTTTCAAAACTTGATGATGAAACCAAGAAACTAATTTAAATAAGAGTTCATAGATGACTTTTAAGTACTAGCAGGGAGTTGTAGAGCTCCCAGAAAGGGACCACAAAGAAATAGCTGGTTTTGCTACATTCAGGAGTTTAAACTTAATTATAATTCTCTTGAGAAATATAAGCCACTAACTGTTACACTTTTAATTATTTTTAACCATACATCAGTAAATCCCACTGTGAAAAATATTGTCATCTTCTGTCTGTCCTACAAATCTGCACAAGTAATTAGGCTGTTATAAATAGGCTGATACACAGGCTGTTGTATAAAACAGTCATGTGTAGCACGGTTCAGTGGACATTTTAATACCCTGTGAGAAGCTGGTTCACAATAAAGAGCTTCTTGAACCTAAATTGTTTATTATAAGCAGTCAACCAGGTAAAGCTTTCAAAGCTCTACTGCCTCCCAGGCATTCCGTGGTAATAAAGAAGCTCAAATTCCAGTCAGGTCCAGGTGTTTAATTCTGCAAGCAGGTATGGGCATACAAGAAGGCTTCTCCCTTCACTTTCCATTTATGTTTGCTTAAAAACAACAAAAGAAAACCAACGTTGTTCTTATGATTCACACAGATCCCTACGTGAAGGTTTCTTTAATGTGTGAAGGAAGGCGACTAAAGAAAAGAAAAACTTCCACCAAGAGGAATACCCTTAATCCCGTTTACAATGAAGCCATAGTCTTTGACGTCCCTCCAGAAAACATTGACCAAATTAACTTGTTGATAGCTGTTATGGATTATGACCGGTGAGATACCTGTAGCTGTAAAATAACATCATCTATTGGCTTATAAAATCTTGCATAGTGGTTTTGCATCCAGAAACAAAGCTGTATTTTTTTCCCAGTAAATGGGAAATTAATGTCGAGTTTGGTAGAAGCTAAAATTTCTTGTAATATTAGGCAGAATTTCCTTCATAAGTTTTAAAACACAGATTTGCATCTATAACTGACAAAGCTAAGCTTCAGTCTACCTGAAATAACTGAACATATAATCAGACAGTCCACACGCTGATGTTCTGTTTGTGCACCCCTTAGACATGTATCTCCATTTATAAAATTGTGGCTTATATCTTACTTATATTTGCAACTAGTTACAGAACACAGGCAAAGAACTTTTTATATCTTCAGGCAAAATTAAAAAACAAATGCACACAGACGCACAGTGTATGCTATAATGGGGGAAATACTAAATTGCTCTGGTTAGTGGGAAATGCAAAGAGCAAACCTATGTATTTTGTAGTTCCTTATATTTTTTAAGCAATAATTAATTCTAAAAATCCAAGATTTTTTTTTAATGAAATAAGTAAATGATATGGTTCTAAAAGTAAAATTTTAAGAAAAAAATATTATGGAACATTTTCACAGTGTAGGTCACAATGAGGTCATTGGAGTATGTCAAGTAGGCAACGATGCAGAAAGTCTAGGCCGTGACCACTGGAACGAAATGCTCTCATATCCTCGGAAACCCATTGCTCACTGGCATCCCCTTGCAGAGGTAAGACTTATTTCTTGCTTCCCCATTACTGTAATTGTGAATATTCTTCCATATGGCATTAGAAGTTGGATAAAATTTTATGAACAAAACCAAGATCCACATGCATGCACTAAAACTTAGAAAAGGGCTCGGAAACACTGATATTAAAAGTCAAACATAACACGCAAGTTAAGTCTGCTCCTTTCAATTTTAGGGGTACAGAAAGTAATAAATGTATTTAACATATATACATGGAAAAATGAGCATTATACACTGGATTAAGGGTTTGGCTTTGCTTTTTAAATAAGATCTTGGGTAGCTTTCACTGCTAATTGATATAAAGAAATGAACCTTGTTTACAGAACAACCAAGACCTATTTTTTTATATATAACAACCTAATATGACTTCTTCTCTTGTAACAATATATCATCCATGCCACTAGCACATCTCGAGGGATGCCTAACTGCACTGAAAAAAAAATGTTTAAGTGTCTCTGGAGATCTGAGGTGCTGATAAGAAGCAACACAATCAGAAAAGCTTTTTAAGGTTCCTATGTTTTTTTTTGTTTTGTTTTGTTTTGTTTTTTGTCTTTAGGGCCCTATTCAGCAGAAATGTTATGCAGGTCTTCTGCGCTTGGATGGCTGCCGAAGAGGCTTCCTCACCCTTTTAACCTATTCAGCC